ATCCCTTCCGGTCACAGGGTGATGTAGATCATGATGCAAGCCAAACACAAGCCAAATAAAACCGAAGCCCGAGTGAGTCAGTGGTAGCACTCAGCTATAAACATCCTCACTTCTCTTTACAGATTATCATCATATGCCTACACAACTACCGGAATCTCAGCAAGAGCCTACCACACACCATATCATCCTTTTCCACCATATCAGCCTAACCGCACCCTGCCTCGAACTGTGACATATCCTCTCGGACATACACAGTACTGAGTACACACGCCGGGGTCCCTGAGGGTTTGTCGCGCTCGTCGCGCCTGCACCGACCGACCTCTCGCCAGGCCGGCTGTCTGACGGAAGTGCGCCCAACGGTCGGTCGCGTCTGGTGCCGATTCTGCACCGGCAGATGATATCATGCAGGGGGCGGATGGACGCCACCCGGAGACGCGCACCAGCCGGTCGGTCGACTGGCAGAGTTTATTCGAGTGCATGCTGTGAGACGCCCGGATGGAAGGTTTACGGCTGTCTAAATGACTGAGGGAGGGTTTGAGTGGTACTGGCTGCTGCTATACCATGTCGTGATGCTTATGCAAAACATAGTCATGGCAAAGGAGGCGTTTATAATGTTTACATTTTCACATCCGGTAACACTGTTTTCTTAACGAATAAACAAATCAAACTGCAGGTAATCGCTGTACGTACCGTATGGTGCATTTGAAAGATCTATTTGTAATAGAGACAGAGACTTTGCCAGGATACCTACATTACCTGCGTCGCAAACCGAAATGTCCTCAAGCCATTCGAGCGATGTGGACCTCGCCGCGCTCAGTGATAATGATGACTCACGGCAAAACCTGCTATCCTTCGCTGTCTGCCCCGTGCCAGTCGCTAAAACAGCCCGTCCTGGCTGGAATAAACTGAGGGCGACTGACGCGGTCGGGGATCCCAGCGGGCCCGGACGAACCCCCGCCGTCGAGGGTAGTCACCAGGGAAACAGCGGACCCACGGCGGATCCGGGGACCCCGGATTCCGGCACAGCAGGTGTTCGGACTCCCTAGACCGCACCGCATCGTCCGTGTCATTTTAACACACACACAAACACAGAATGTCAACAGGTCAGGTATGTGCCCTAAGCAAACACAGACTGAAACACCGCGACCGTGAAGCTGTAAGCAAGCGCAAATGGAGTTTACAATGCGGAGACATTGAAGCTGTGAAAATAGACGCTCTTTTGTTTGTAACAAGAACAGCGGAGCCTGAGAGATGTAGCATCGATTTCGTCATAGGTGAGAGTGACAGCTTGCGATTTCACTCTGATATGTGATTTATTTTTGGATTGTTGGACATGGGATTGGGGGATGCGATGCGTATGACATTAATTCAGAGTATCTATACCTGTTCAATTCCTTTGCTTCACACTCACTGCAAAGTGCAACCGTGTCCTCGCGTGAACACTGATGTCCACTGAACGGAGACTAGCGAGCATCAGGCATTAACGAGCTAGACTAAGTTAAATAGTCCTTAAATTAAGAGAATGCACATTGCATACCCATTACCTAACTTAATGCTTGTAGGAATTTATTACGCACTATAACAAACACATCGAGCAAAAAAATATCCAGGAGTGAATCTGTCGAGTGTCGACCACCTTGAGCTTTTGTTAGCCTTAAACTGATGCTATCTATCTAATCAGTATGTAAATAAATGTATTGGAGTGTTGATTTCAGTGTGATTGAAATTCAAAATGCATAAAGCTTGGGTTTCCAGAACAGGCGTCACTCTATTCACCTTAGACGCAATCTAGCTCTCTGCCTTCGTTATATACCAGAAAGGTTCCCTATCCTCTCAAACAAAATAGGTAGGTACCTACCAGCTTTCATATATTCATGACAACGTCTAAGCTACCAATCACAGAAAAAGGCTCGGCAGTGCTTACGTAGTCGATTACTGTTCTGCTGAAACAGATACACGGTTGTAAATAATGCAAAGAAGCTATCACATTTTCAGCTTTCGGGTATTTCCCAGCATTAAGAACGTAATCAATATTCATCAATCCCTTATGTAATACAGACATTTATCACCAGCAGCTTATGCCTTATAAATACTGTTTTTCACATCCAGAGCCGCTTTTGCTCACCCAAAGCTGCGTCAGTATTTAGAACCTAAAACCTATTGTTTGGAGCGGTGACCATTCGAGTGTGAGCTCGTTACAAAAATGGCCGCCCGCCAGCCTGGTACGGGCGTCTCGTCCCCCTGAGAAAACCCCACTGACTCGGTACCTTGCAGAACCCAGTAACGGGTTGCTGTTTTATAGATGTCGTAGATTACGGTTCATAGATTCACACGTCGTGTGCAGGTTTTTAGAATGAGTTCTGTACCAGGAGCTGCTGTCGGTGCGACGGTTCAGGAGCTCCTGTGTTGAGTTTTGACGTCATCATTGGGACAGAAATGACGATGTGCGCAGTGCTTGGTGCAGTGTAGCGTGACAGCGTTATCTTCATGTTTGCCTAGACACATTGATCGATGATCGCATTGATTTCGATAGAAGGGGACAGCCTTCGATAGAAACGACAGCCCCTGGCGGCACTTTCCAATTTGTCATAATTCATACATTTGTAAAAATTACCTGGCAAAATAAGATTTTATTTCATTTAGTGTATTTGATAATGGTGTTTGGTGTTAATTCAAGTTTTTTTGTTTGTTTTGTTTTGTTGGGTTAGGTGAGGTCCTTTCGGTCCTGTAAGACCATTTCAGAGCCGGGAGGATGATAGGATATGGGGGGGGGGGGGGGAGACATTGGTCTGGGCAGGCACCCTAGTGAGTCGCCGGGGCTGAGCCCGTCCAGAGGACAGGCCACCCAGCCCCAAGGCACTCACTGCACCCGGCTACGGGGTGCGCTCCCTCGGGAGCAGCGGTGTCGCTCCAAGGGAGCAGCCCGCATGAGATAAAGTTGCCTGTCCAGCCCGGAGGGGGGTGGCGGTGTGGAGGAGAAGGATTTCAGTATCCTGAGGATAGAAGCATGGAACGGTCTAATTCAAGTGATAATCTAATGTTTTGTGATAATGGTCAATGGTGTCTCGACTTCGAGGCTCGAGCACTTAATTATCTCCGTTCCTGATTTTATTTTTGCCACCCCTTCCGGAACATAATTGGAAAGCACGATTACGACCGCGGTAAAACAATTAAGGAAATAATAAGATAAGGCGGATGTTAGACTTAAGAGCTATAGGTACAGACTGGCGAAACGACTCTGACACCTCTAGCTAAAACAACCAAATTCAAATCACTATCATATGTGTAATGTGTATACGTCATAATGTGTACGGCGCAACACGCCATACGGCCTAAATAAACGATGGTTAGGGCATCATAACTTCATATTGGCATCCTGTTTACATCATACAATACCTCTCTGGAATAAGACGTTATCGTACGAGCCATTCCCAGACAAAAACACCGGATTCGGCCGAAAACACTCGATTCGGCCGGTATCAGCTCAAAGCCCTGCGGTTTATTCATCGATGACAGCAAATGAAGCACAATCACATGAAGATCAATCAAAGTCGGGGTTGCGCCACCGTAAGCCGACCCAAAATAACCAGCGCATGCTGGTATAAGACCCATAACAAGACGGATTACAATGCAAACTGGAACGCACCGGTAGTCTGCTAGGATAGGTCGTAGTAGCGAGAAAGTTCGGAGCACGATTCCAGCAGAGTCAGTTCTTTACTTACCATTCGGTAATCCTTTTGTCCGGGCTCGCGTCTTTTTGGGATATCTTGATTGCATACACAGTACACACGGCACCAAGTGACAAACGAAAAAAAATCACCGAGTCCGATGTCACCCTCGGAGTCCTGAAAGGGTGCAGCGCCTTCCTTTTGGGTAACCCCTCGCACCCACGCCTGTATCGATTCACAGTGCAACTCGGCGCCGCTATTTTTCCGACTGCCCCCCGTCCACCGCCCCACCCGCTCTGCTGCAACCGGGGGGGGGGGGGGGAGGGGGGTGCCCGAGCCTCAGGGCCGACCGCCGCCGGCGTCTCTGAAGCCCGCACTGCTGTCACTCCCCCCCCCCCCCGCCCCCACCCGTCACCGCAGGAGGGGGTGGGGGTGACCCCTCGGGCGCCGTCACCGTTGACAGGACCAGGGAGTGGCCGCAAACGATGTCGAATCGCATCAGTGGCCAGTGAAGACGATTACGGCGACCATAATAGGCCTGCGGGCTCTCTTGAACGAGCAGAGGAGCTCCCGGGGAGGGGAGGGGTAGGGGATAATGGCGGATTTACGCGGCAGGTATGCAGCTCTTCGTGGGAGGACAGCGAAATCGACAGCGGTTGGATGTTTACTCGGCTAGGTGTTTTTGTGGTCGGAACTATTAAGAAGTCCGAAGGCCGATCTGCACAGATGTTTATCCGTTGTGCCACAACAGTCCTTATCGGGAGGAAGACGCTTTGAGGAAGTAAGCCATGGTCTAGTGTTAAACTTATCCTCAGCCAAAGTCCTATCTGAGAACGAGTCTTTTTAAGGCAGCAACATAAGCGGCTCAGGCTGACTGCTGTCGGTCGATCGCGGCTTCAGGTGCCCTTGACGTGTCGGATTGACGAGTTGTACTGTCACCGATGCATTGGTGGGCGGAGAAACGGCTCCTCCACGTTTAACAAACAGTGCTGTGTAGGGTATAAGGTGGTATAAGGTGGTATAAGGTGTGCAACACTGACAAACCAATGGATATGTGAGCCGGTGGGGCCTGGGAAACAACTGCTTCCAAATAGGTATTCAGATTCGGCTTCAGTTAGAAAGAAGTCTTTAAAAAAGACTTTAACAAAGTATGCCATATATTTCAATGTGCTGTATGCGTATTTTTCGTATTAGTTTGATGTCTTATTTCTTTGTGAAATTCCCCCATTTATTAAGCATAAGCAAATTTCACTGACACAGTTGTTTCCAGATGCCACTGTACTCATATATGAAAGAATGTAGTATCTCAATTCTCATTCGCAAAACACCTGATATGGAAAACGTTATATTCTACGGACATCGGCTGACACCTCTTACGACGCAAACACATCAAGTGTCCTCGTCCATCGTTTTCACTCGGACATCATTAAGTCCCAGGTACACATGCGGGTCATTCTCGACCACTGCCATGCAATACATTGTACACTGTACACAAATATAAGCCCCAATTCGCTGGTACACTGTCACTGGTGTGAATACATGCCGGTACATCCAACACTCAGTACGCTTTCGACAAACACCGGTACCAAACAACACTCCTCAAGGCTGTTTGAGTACACGTCTCACAAACACCGGAACAAACGTCTGTCCTCATGGCTGTTGGAGTACATAACATAAACACCTGTACCACACATCTCGCTCACAGCTGCTTTTATACAGAAAGACAGACTGGCTTCGGTTGGGAGGTGTCGGAGTCGCCATCACACAACTGTCGACTGGACATCGAGGTAGCTTTACCAAGCTAGTGTCTCAAAGCAAAGCGAGCGCAACCCAGCACTCTTGGACCAATCTTGGATACAATTTGTGAAATGGAGGAAACTCAGAGGTGTATTCACTGCAGGGAAGTATGCGTCCCACAAGTACTGCAGGTTAACTGACCCTGAGAACCATACTAGTTCATTCACCCGGTCCCAGAGGTGCATCGAGTTCACCAGCCTGGTGTCATCAGCCGCCACCAAACCGTATCCGGATGAGTTCACTCAGGTTCTCTGCACTATGACTCATGTTACCGCACCGACATGGGTCAAAGGTCAACCTCTGTGGTAGGAAGCTAGCCATGCTAGGCTAAATGTCAAAGGTGGCGGCGGACAGTAGCTGGAATTCAGCTATGACGTGTGTAAATTCACCACATACGTCCCCCGCGAACTTTTTTTAACACCCCAGTCGGTGATTGGCCCGGCGAGATCACTAGCGCCGCCGCTAGGTGCAGCGCGCAAGTAGTGGTAGCGGTGACCGCCGCTAGGGGCGTTAGGTGCGCTGACCTGGCGGCAGCTGACTGACGTGCTCGTTGGAGTCCAGCTGTTTGAGGAGCCGGAACAGGGCGGCGGCCTCGCGGATCCTGATGAAGTCGATGCAGAACGCCTGAACCTCGATCAGGATCGTCTGAGGAGAGACAAAAATGTGGTCAGGTGGCTGAGTTTATGCTAAGACCAGCCAAATAATCCGTGAAAGTGCAGTTCATCTGGCGCGATCGTTATCGCACTATGCCACTAAAAATTTTGAAAATGTGATTTCAAGAGTACATGTGACTCACAAAACCTTAACTCCATGTGGTTATCAACATGCGATTACTACCAGACAAGCCGTCTGACAATTATCACGCGTTAACACCCCGGAGCTATACCGTGCCAACTAAGCGGAAAATCCAGCATCAGTCCCCGCATCTACTGTAGGCACCGTACCGACCATAATCAGACCAGCAATCAGCCGTTAAACGCCCAAAGTGCTCACTAGGAGGCAATATTCCGTAATGCGGAGAATTGAATGATTCACCCTTTCGCATAACACTTGACCAGTCATGCATTGATAATGATCATAAGACACATGTAGGTCCATGTACGGAAATATTTGAGCACGTGTAAGCTGGCCATTCACACTCGAAAACATAGACTTATCAGTGCAACATATCCTAGATGAGAGGTATAATTGTTATCAGTGAGCTACACTTTCACCTTTTGAATGTACAAGAGAAAACTAAATTCTATGAAAATTATTTGACGATAATATCTGCCGACATATTCTGCATCCTCTTCCTGTGACATGGAAACAGCGACATAAACATGTCACTATTATCTGGATAGAGACGTCCAGAATTTCAGCTGACAGCAAATGCAAGTTTGACCAGCAACAACATAATTCAATACTCCTCCCTTTAGGTCATCATTTAAAGCAGATTCATGAAAAGAAAAGAAACACCACCTCTCACGCCTCCTACATAGGGCGGAACGTGGCAAAATAACAAAAACTTATAACATCACATACGAGCCATTGGACATCCAGCATCCATCCAGTATCCACCCAGTATTACGCACCTGCACGTTGATGATTTTGTTTCTGATGAGTGACTGGAGGAAGACGCAGACAAGTCTCACCAGCCGGTTCTGCATGTATCTGTCTTTGATGGCGCCGCAGGTGGCGATGCAGTTGGTGATGTAGAGGTGGACGAACTCGGCCGGCAGCTCCACCGCCGTCGTCAGCCTGCAAGAGATGGTCAGTAAGGGTCACTGGGACAGGGAAGGGCAGTGGGGTCAGGTGAGGTCGCTGGGGTCAGGTCACCAGCCAACACGAGATGGCCAAGGGTCATCTAGCCACATGTACATAGTACTACGTGTACATAAGTTCGATGGTCATCAACGTCAAAAACTAAACATAGGTCATCAAGTAAGTCTTTGGTGAGCACCTCGTTTGGATGTCATCGGTTATCGGAGGCATGGGTGCATGGTACACATTTTTTCGGTGTCCCAACTCCAAGACAACAAGAGAGGCACCTTTTTCGCTGCAGTATCAGCTTTCTCACAAACGTCCCTCCTTACATCAGCCAATCCTCTTCCATCCTGTCTCCCTCGACCAACCAGCTCTCCCTCGAACGGTTCCCTCTCTCCATCATCCCGCCCTCTCTCCCTACTCCACTCAGTCACTGACCTGTTGACGACCTCCATGCTGTGGAGCGACATCTCCATGTTGACGAGGACGTTGAAGAAGTCTGTGATCTGCGGCGAGTCCATCAGCTGCAGCAGCACCTCGATGGCGATGATGGGGTTGTGCTCCACCAGGTCCGGCAACTGAGCACATGTGAGGACGGATGTGAATGAAGATGACTTCGATTAAGTGGCCGTGGGCGAGACGAAGCTACGCGCGGAGACAAAACTTGGGTATTTTGTACAAGTACGTGTAGGTTGGATATTGAAATTGTGGGCTGGAAATGAATGTTTATTTGAAGTTTGTAGCCTAAAAACGTGAAAATCAAGGGATCTTTAGAAGATATTCTACATTATAGAAATATATAGCATACAGGAACAGTGGACGCCATGCACGTCATGATAAAAAATGAACTGCCTTTCTGGCCACTAGTTCGACCAGAAACTGACTCCGTCACTATATTGATCAGAAACTGACTCCGTCCGATGCCTTCCCGGCCCATTCACCATTCTTTCACCAGTAGCTCACTGCCATTCCATTTCTCACCTTGGCGGGTGTGACGCCCACTTGGTACACGGTCTTGAGGTCGCGTTTCAGCTGGCTGATCAGCTGGTTCTGCTGCTGCAGCGTCAGTGGCCCGTTGACGGCCAGCGCCATCAGTTGGCGAGCCTCTCCGACGCCAGCGGGCGCCGTCAGCAGACTGGGGTCGTAGGCCACCTGGTGCTCGTGCGGCTCCGTAGGGACCATGTACACCATCTGAGGGGAAATCGGCGGGGAGCGGGTCAAAGTCTATGTATGTTGAGATCGTGGCGGCACGGTCTCCATGTACACTCGCCATGCCAACCGGATAAAACGATAGTTCAGATGCGGAAACGGACAAGTTTCCTTTTTTTGTTTGCCGGGAATAACGACTGAAAATAGGAAACAAAATATAAGTTTTTACATTTTACAAAGCCATTGAGTGACAACCATGAATGAAGTGCAACTTACCCAAACATAATACGAAACCTTTATGACGTAACACATTTTACACTCGCAACCGTTCTCAGCATTCAGCAATCGTGGTACTCGACTTCGAAAATGGCGAGTTACATAAAAAATCAAGACTAGCTGCATAAAGGGGAGCAGAGCGCAACAACTTGCTAATGCCCAGAGTTTGAAACTAAAGACAAACTGTGTCGCTTCTGAGACAAAACAACACGTAGTTATCTTCACTGGCTGACAGCCAGTCTTATCAAGTTCACGGATGAAGGTCTCACTCGCGTCACTGGATTCAAACACTTTGCTGTCAGAATTCGTCATATGACCTAAACTAAATAAAAAACGACACTCTGATTCTAATTTCTAACTGAATATGCTGTCCAAAACACAGCCTCCTTTCCTCTCCCTCAGACACTCGAACTCTGCCCCCGCCCCGCTCCAGCTCCATGCCACTGACCTCATCGATACAGTTGTGCAGTGGCGGCGCCAGGCGCAGAAACTCGGGGGCCAGTCGCTGATGGGCGTATGGCGCCGGACTGCTGAGGACACCCTCCACCGTGCGGCGGGTGACGTTCTGTTCAGAGTACGCCCTGGAAACGACAACGCAGGGGAATCGTGGTCAAAGGTCGGATATCAGATTTATCTAGCTGTGAACTAGATTAAAAAATAAAAATAAAATATGGACAAGAAAATAAAGGGTTTGTTTACCGTCGATTATCAGCAATACGAATCCCGAAAAGTCCCGTTCAGTTTAAAACCAGCCCAGAAATGACCCGGTGTCACCCCAATCTAATCTCTCGACGGTCACATGCCGACACATCCCCGTACTAACCCGGAGGCGTCGGGTCGCAGGTCGGGGTCGGGCACCACCACGCTGACCCCGGACCGGGCCGCCGGGGGCACATCTTTGAGCCGCTCCTGTACGGCCGTCTCCAGCTCCGCCAGACTAGTCTCAGAGGCAGCGGCCGGCGGTGGTAGCTCCGAGTGCAACAGCAGACTGGCCGGCTTCTTAAACAGCTGCCGCACAGCGGGACAGGGGATCGTGGCCATGGTGAAGAGCCGCAATGGGCAGTTACTCACGCTAGGACAATCCCAGGGAAGTTTATTATTAAGCGTTGCTTCGATATCTTGCCTTCAGAGCAGGAAACGATTTCAAAGGCAAGATACTTGACTCCATTGAATGCCTGACATGTTGTGATATGCCGGTTACCCTCGGTAGTCGTTACCCTCCCACATCCACAAAATGGACTTCATCCGCATTGTCAGGCAGATTCACGAAACCGTTTCAAATTGTGGAATGTCTTTGTCTATCATCCAAATAACAAATTGACAGACAGACATACAAAAGGGGAGAATATTGCAGTGATATTGTTTAATCTTCGAAAGAACATTCACTATGAAATCATCCTGAAAAAGAGCTTCAATTTCCCATTTCCCTGTACATACGTTGTACTTCGGCTCCAATTATCGTTGCCTAGCGATCCAGGCCCTTTCTGCGGCCGTGCTCCGTACCTCCTTGTTCGGGTTGATGATGAGCTGCCGGACAAAGTATTTCTCTCCCGGCGTGAACTTGGTGAAATGCAGAGCCGGATCCGTGGGCTTCCCGGGCGCCTTGGACATCTCGGAGTGTTGCTGTAACGTTTATACAAAAGTAAATTCGTTGTTCTTTTAACCAGGGCTGCGGAGTCGATGGAATTTAAGGTGATTCGGACTCCGACTTCAAAAATCGACTCGGACTCCGAATCCGACTCCAGCTTCGACTCTGGGCATCGCTCATGAAGTCCATACAAGGAAATTAACTGTCATGTCGGGTCGGAGATCTCTTTATCTTGCCTGAAGCGACCCTTTGCGCGTTCCAAGGCACTGCATTACATTACAAATAAGTACCTGCCTTTTAAATAGCATAAAAAAGAAGTTTTGACGTAGCAGCTGTCTTCAGCTTTTTTCCGATGAAAACGCCCGTCCAAAAAACGGGTTTGCCCTAAGCTTCAACAAACTCTTATTTTGAATGGTCAACGAGCAAAACATCGCCAGAAACCAAGTGTAGGGCATGACTTTGAGCCATGCAGTGTGAACTCCGACTCCGGAGTCGGAGTCGGTAAGATTAAGCGGCTCAAACTCCGACTCCGACTCCGGGCAAAACTGCCGACTTCGACCGACTCCCACTCCCGACTCCGCAGTCCTGCTTATAACGGACACGTCATAAAGCTTCACATAAAAATTGTTTAAACCTGTTGCCATAGCTAACTTTGAAGCCAAAAGATATTACACAATATAACTACATTCGACACGAACTAGCGAAATATGTGGTTATTCGATGATTACAATTTGTGATCCAATTGTTACACAGTGAGCTACTTACCATGATGTGGAGGAACACATTGGCGAATGGGTTCCTTTTGATGGGCTCGTTTTTGTAGAGGAAATACAGAATGGCCGTGGCCACCACCCTCTGGTGTGGATGAGGCAGCATGTCCGGCTGCAGAATCAGGAACACCAGAGCATTGCCCACTGCAAATGAACAGAACATAATTCAAATATCTGCAGTGCAGTCTGCACACCACTAAAATGCCTTTATGAAAATGAGGCCTCAGGGGGAAATGGAAATCTAGTGTAGCAGGCACAAAGCAGAGGTCATCTTTTTGAATGCAGAACACTGCCAATTGAGGTTACCTTTGAAGTGGTCCTGCTTGTTGAATGTTGAACAGCATTGTGCAGCTAGAGTTTCTATGGGTTGCTGTTCTGTGCTCTCCTCAGAGAGAAGGCTGAAATAGAAAAGGCCAATTAGAATACAACTATGTCAGCATGCCCTATGAAACTTTGAACCAGCCATGTTTGATTGAGCTAGCCCCAGGGATATAAAAAAGTGAAACATGTCATTGAAAACAGTTTAAATCTGTAAAGCAATTATGAAAAGGGACTTTGAAAATATGCATTTAAAACTCAACAATCATTGGTTTTGGTATCCAGTACAGCCATAACCAAACCAAACCATGGATATAAGATATTTATGGGTTGTTACCCATTTTCTGTAGAGCAAAGGTAAACTGCACTTTTATAACACTCAGTTACAAGGAGCCACAAAATGATAAGACTTCATGGCTTGCAGCAAAAGGCCCCAAGCTGTTGGATGTAGATTGTAGATTGTATTTAGGGCCTTGGTAGAACCTAGAAATAGGAATGTTGACTAATTATCAATTCAGTTATCACCTTGAGTTGCACCCATTTATAACTAAGAACACCTACTCATTATGACATTGCCCACATTGGATGAGTGCATGGACTTCAGTGCTGGCTCTGTGATCTCAGTGGAGCTCAGGGCAAGCTACAGGCTGGGATCCATGTTGTCCTAGGATCTGGCATAAAACCAAGAACAAAGATCCCAGATCTGGAACCTATGGGGATCCCAAAGCACACAACCTGTAAAACAATCAGCCAAGGCAATTCCATGCTTTTAAGCACCTGAGCACGGCAAAATGTTAGCTTTGTTTGCTTCATATCCCTGAAAGAGGGCCATTGGATAATGTAACAAATGTCCTATAGCAATATCACATTCCTGCCTCCACAAAATCATCTAAGCATTTATTATCTCACTGGATCTGTTGAAAAAAGCTACTTCGTGATTTGCACTCCTATTGAATCTCAAGACAAATTGGAATAGCTTAATCTATGATCACATTACATCATACATAAAGATTGCTGGGCTTATACAGAATTTTGATTCATACCTTTTGACAGACCCCTGCATGTCTATTAAGTGCAAACAAATGGACACAAAAACCTTGCTTCCAAATTGAAATACTTAATTGTAATAGCAACGGTCAAATGACTTGTTTAAATTTGGAATGTAATATGGGATTCACAAGAACCACAAATTAAAAAGTACGAACCTTGGTTGTAACCCACCTGAGGAGAGTAGATATATCCTTTGTTGACAATGCCATTGTAGAGGGAAGCTGAAGCATACCAGTAGTTGGTATTTTCGATCAAAAGGCATTTACACTTCAATAATAATAAGGCCACCAAGCCAATAGCAATCCATCCCAGCAACAGCGCAAGGCCATATAAGTTAACAGCGTTCAATCGGTATATAGGGCCTTGGTTCAATCATAAATTGAAATTGCAAGTATGTTGTTGTTGTTGTTGAAGAGTTAGGGCGCGCAGCAGCCTGGCTCAAGCGTCCAATAAAAATTGCAAGTAAAATTAATCTGTGTAAAATTAATCTCCCATCCGGTGCGGAACAGTGCAAATATTTTTGTTGTTAATCACTTGTGTATTTTTGATCAACTCGATACGTCATAAATAAAACCTCTTTTAATTGATCTAGTTTTGATCAAAAGGCCTCATTCGAATGAAACCATAATAAAAATTATCGGAACTATCGTATCTTAAATAAAAAGGAACTTGTTATAAGTTGTTTATACATATAAAATGCATTTCAAAGGAAATAGTTTTCTAACTTTGTTTGTATCAATGACGTCATATATTAAGGATTTAAATTGTACAGCAACAATTTGATGATCCTTGACTTCCTCGGCATATATGGCGCAGTAGATTACAGGTTGTCCCCAATCCAATCCACATTATTTTTATGGTGATATAATAAGGAAGATTGATGTCGAATATGATTTCTCAATATTTTTTCCTATCTCAATTTCATGCAGAAAGCCTTGGCAGAAGATTCAATAGTGAAGAGATCGCTATTTATTCAAATTATTTTAGTAGACTGGGTAGTTTGGTACGTACCTACCTACCCATTTTATCATTATTAGTTATCAGCACTGTTAGTATCAGAACCCAATAATGATAATGAATAACAATAAGCCAATGTCACTTCGGTTCATAAAAATTGAAGTTTTCACTCAGTTGCAGCAGATAACCTGGTAGATAACCTTTTATCACATGTTTCACACTTCATGTCTGATGTCTCTAGGGTCGAGTCAGTTTTCTATGCATTGTCTCTTGGTCTGTCTGTTTTGGTTCCCACTCATCAGTTCCTAGCATAATATGAGAGACAACCTTGACTCATAGCTGGCTTATATGCAAGAATGCAGTTTGAGCTTTTGCTGGGAGTTAGGACCAGTCAAGAGTGCAATTATAAGAGAGACTTTGACATAAGGTGGGGATGGTCCCAGTCCTAGTGGAAGAGCATTTTACCTAGATCTTGTCATTGCATAGACATGATGACCTGATGACCTTAAATGATAAGTTCCTGGAGTTAAGTGCTCAAAGAGGGTGCTTGGTCCTGCTGATAGCCAAAATTGAAATAAAAATATTAATGACATACCTACCTACTTAACTATTAACTTAAACATTGAAGTCCTTACCTTACCTTACCTTGAAGGTCATCGGGATAGAAAAGGCCACTTGGCCTATAGGTCCCGTTCTCACCGAGTTACTTGCAGAGACATTCAGGACTCGTAAGGTTGTGGCATGACATACATTAGGTGGGTCCAGTGATGGTCGAGTCGTGCCTTGAATGTCGAGAGTGTTTCGGCTGATACGACCTCAGCAGGTAGAGCGTTCCAGTCGTTGATGATGCGGACGCTAAAGCTGCTTCGTCGGGCGAGAGTCACAGCTCGGGGTTTGAGCAGCTTCCACCCGTGTCCTCTCGTCAGCTCGGTCTCGTTCTTGGTGAAGAAGGTCGTTGCCGGCACATCGATTTCACCGTGGAACAGCTGGTAGACCGTCAGCATGTCTCCCCTGCGGCGGCGGTAGAACAACGACGGCAGTCGGAGACGCTCCAGACGCTCGGGGTAGGGAAGGTGCTTGATGGATTCCACCATACGCGTGGCGCGTCTCTGGACCTTTTCTAAGCGTTTCTGGTCTCCTTTGCTGAACGGTCCCCAGACGGCGTTCCCAAACTCCAGAAAGGGGCGGACGAGAGCCTTGTAGAGCAAGGGTAGGGTCGTCTCATCGATGTGAGCGAAGGATCGCTTGATGACCGCGAGCAGCTGTGAGGCTTTTGAAACGGCCGCGGCCGTTTGCGTATGAAACTTCAGCTCAGAGTCGATTATGATCCCCAGATCCCTTTCTTCGTCTACCACAGCGATGGGCGTCCCGTTCAGCCTATATTCGTGTGCAGGATTTCTTGAGCCCATGTGCATCACCTTACACTTTCCTGCGTTGAACGGCAGCAGCCACCTTGAGGACCATCGTGCCAGAGCGTCCAGATCACCCTGCAGGCCAGCACCACGATCGGATGGATTTGTCAGTGGCTTGTATAGCTTCGTGTCATCCGCGAACATCTTCATATTGCTTGAGACCTCTAGTGGCATGTCGTTGACGTATATTGTGAACAGCGTCGGCCCCAATACTGAACCTTGGGGGATACCGCTGGAGACAGGTGCCCACTCCGAGTTGCAGCCCTGAATCAGCACCCGTTGACGACGGCCAACTAGGAAGGTCTGTATCCAGGTGAGAAGTTTACCTCCGACACCATACGACCTCAGCTTCTCGAGAAGACGTTTGTGCGGCACCGAGTCAAATGCTTTGGCGAAATCTAGGTAGACCACATCCACCGGGGTTCGGTCTTCCAAGGCAGCGGTCCAGTCTTCCAGTACCTCAAGCAATTGGGAGCTACACGAACGCTTTGCCAGGAAACCATGCTGAGCTCTGTGAAGCAGGCCGTTTGCTGACATATGGTGCAGGAGCTCATCCCTTATGACAGATTCGAGGACCTTACAACAGACGGATGTCAGGCTCACCGGTCTGTAGCTGGATGGTAGGCGGCGATCTCCTTTCTTGAATATCGGAGTCACGTTGCCGATCTTCCACTCTGGGGGGACATCCCCGGAGTCCAGCGATTTCCTGAAGATCCAGCTCAGTGGGTGGGAGAGGACGGCTGCATTCTCCTTTAGTACGCGAGGGTGAAGGCCATCGGGTCCTGGCGAGCTGTGTGCCCGCAGCGCTGCCAGCTTAGTGTGTACCCGTAGCGGGGAGATTTCGACGTCCTCCAGAAGCGGTCCGTGATGGGGGCGCTCCAGGACAGGGATGGTGTCTGACGCTTCTTCGACGAAGACGCTACTGAAGTATCTGTTCATGGCGTTAGCTTTTGCCTTATCAGAAGACACCGTTTCTCCATTCTCGTCTTCTAGGTCGCCGATGCCATTTTTGGTCTTGAGGCGTGAATTTGCATACCGCCAGAAGCACTTCGGGTTATCTTTGATTGACAGTACCAGCTTTTGCTCATGTTGTCTCCGGAGGGCTCTGGTCACGTTCCTCAGGTCGTTTCGACACCTGACGTACCTGGCGTGATCAAGTTCATCGTGGCTTCGGCAGTAAGTGCTCCACAATAGCCTTTTCCTTTTCCTTAGTTGGAGGGCTTGGCGGTTCATATATATGTTATGGTCAGAGGCCTTCTTTCTGATGCTGGAGCATGACTCAATGGCTGCACAGATTGACGAGCTAAAGAAGGTGTGAGCTTCTTGAGTACTCATGTTCCTCATCACCGCCCAGTTGCACGATTCAAGCACATTAGTCAATGAACGATAGTTGGTGCGAGAATACATGCGTGGCAGCGAGGATGGCGCAGGTGCGTAGCACATCAATGTGAAGGTAAGGATCACATGATCACTTCTACCCAGGGCAGGGCCGTACTCAAGGTTGCGAACCATACCCTCCTCATTGGTAAATACTAAGTCCAGAGTACTTGGCCTCTCTCCAAGCCTGTAACGTGTGGGCTGGGTAACGTGTTGGAACAGGTAACAGTCCTGGATCGTCTCCACAAAGGAGTGTGTGGCTGAAGGAGATGCACCAGTTGCCCAGTCAATGCCACAGAAGTCAGAAAGGAAAGCAAGAGATGACATATTTTGTAATCATTATCAGCTATATTTTCCATTATAACTGCAGCATAATAATGTCTTTTTTCATACTTTGTTCCAGGTGCCTGCCTCTCTTGCCTAGTGGCTAGTGAGTAGTGACATCCTGAAATGCACTTATTGAAGGATGTTATAATGAGCATTAAGTAGAACATTTTATTTTTTATTTGGGCACATTCAAGATGTTTTATTTGCAGAATAACCACCAAAGCCTTGTTTCACTACTAGGAAAGCACTGTTTGGGCTTAACAGCACACCCAAGCGGCAGAGAAGATGAGTTGTTAGACTGGTGGAGAGAGAAGTTTGAGCTGTCCAGATGTTCAGATGTGAGGGTGCAGAGTGACAGCTACATCACTTGCTTGGCATTGGAGGACATTGAGCAAAGATAGTAAGTGTAGGCATTTGAATGGTTCATTCTTTTGTTATTCGCCTTACACATAAAGTCTTACTAATGTGCTAAAATGTTTTGTCAAAGTGCCCAAATCAGTGTGGTTTCTTGCTATTTTTTTTTGTATGTAAACATTGTAAAGGCAGACTTTTGTTTATAGATTAACACTTGAACACTCTTGCAAATTATGAAATGCTATCATTGCATGCCATTTGCACAATGTGCTGTATTTATTATCTCTGGTGTTAACTAATAACTACATTCACACTGTCCACAGTCTTCTATCTGGTGCAAACAATGGCAACATATTCATCCATGATCTCTTCAATCTGGCTGGAACCCATCATCATGCTGCAGAAGTGGTGGCGAAGCTGGACAGGTAACCAACATGGTTCGTGCTAGCAACCGGTAGCTATGCCAAAATTTTGTTCTGTGATCACATTTTTCTTTGTGGGTAACCTCAGATCGCACAGCGATGTACCTTGTGCTTAGCTTTTAGGTGTGGTGTTATTTGTAGGATGCTTTGACATGTATAATGCCATTTGTGTATACTTATCTCATTTGGCTAACCCCTCCATACAGTTTACAAGTCATTTTTTCAGGGAGACCGGTCAGGGGGGACACCGGTCGGCAGTGGCGGACGTTAGCTGGTACCCGCTGGACACGGGTTTGTTCCTCAGCAGCGGCTCCGACGGCAATCTGCACGTGAGTGAGTCGTAAATAAAGACGCATTCTTGAGTTCGCTTTGTAATTCGTAGTGCTCGCCAGGTGTTGTGTTTTGTGAAATGCTTAGCTTTTTACGTAGCTCGTATGAACCGTGCATGTCCCATTGCTTTTTTGGTCTTCTCTTTGTTTCCGATGTTAATTTGTGTGCCGATTTTCAGGTGTGGGATACTAACTCGATGACGAAAAGCGAGAGTTTTCGTTTTAAGAACAAGCTCATTTGTCACGCGATGTCTCCTGTGGCCACAGCCCACTCCTTGATAGCAGGTATGTGACATTTCTGTCTTGCACTTTTGTAATATCAACGAAATGGTTGTGACAACGACAGCAGTCAGGGCGTTTTGACTGTTGTCGACGGCACTAGCCAGTAGCCACTAACATTGACTTTGATGGAGACTTGTCTGTTTTTCTCGACCTAGGTCTTTAGGTAAAATTCCAGTAATGTCTTTAACAATGAATAACATAACGACTGACGATCTAGTCTGTGACACCGGCTCATGACTAACAACAGCAAATAACTTTTCCTTTCCGCAGTGGGTGGCGAGGAGTCTACTGTCACCCTGTGTGACCTGAGGTCGGGCTCCAACACACACCAGCTGCGGGGTCACGCGGCCGCCACTGTCGACACATGTCGCTGGTCACCGGCCCACCACTACCTACTGGCCACCGGGGGACGCGACAAGCGGGTACGTCCGAGCACAAACAGTGGCACATGGCGTACTTTTGTCCGTACTGTATTGTGTTTTGACAATGAATGGAGTACCAATGTGGAGTCATCGTCCTTAGTTTTAATGAGACACTCAGTCCGTTCGCACATCGTGAATTGTTTGATTTTTATTGTATCTGCTTCCCAACAGCATTTGACTGCCAGTTTATGTCACCATTCCTGTGTCGTATTTGACGTTCATACGTGTGTGCTGACGCTGTTGTTTTCTATCATGGACATGTTTATGCACTCCATGTGAACTGCTGTCCCCCGATCGTATCGACAGATTCTGTTCTGGGACGTGCGCTACGCCAAGAGTCAGCTAGCGTCACTAGTACGGAGCCAGTCGCGGCCGGACGGCGCCCACCGCGCGCCCGTCGCCGGTCTGCGGTTCCTCGCGGACGGCCGACACTTGGTATCGGTGGGCCGTGACGGGGCCTGCGCCGTCTGGGACCTGCTGACGGGCCGTCCGCGGCAGCTCACCGTACCGCCACTGCGACTGGCCGCGGCCAACTCGGCCGGGCTCGGCTGCCAGCTGGCGGTCACCACACATGGCCGGCGGCAGCTGGCCTTCCTGCCCTGCGGCGACCAGGTGGTGACCTGTGACCTGAGCAGCGGCGAGCCCGTGCAGCGGCTGGACGGACACCTGCGGCCGGTGACGGCGTGTCAGTACGACCGCCGTGAGGGCCGTCTGATCACCTCGGCGGCCGACGGACAGGTGCTGGTGTGGACGGCGCAGAGGGCGGCGCCGCCGGCCGAGGACGGGGTCAGAGAGGGAGGGGAGAGGACCAATGGGAACAACGCCGACCATCTCATGAGAGACGAGTGGAGTGATGATGATTAGAGAAAGGTGCGACGGAAAACCAACTGTGATACTCGTGTCCATTCGGTGTGTGTATTGAGTCATTACAATAAATCATGCACATATTCACTTTGTAGCGTTTAGGATCTGAGGGGTACACACTTGCATCAGCCGAACTTCGTGTGTTAACTGTGTTCATGTGTTGTTTAAGGTTTTGGTGAACAGAATTTGAAATAAAATAATGCCCCAGGGATGCAGTAAAAATAGAAGATAGAACCGGTGTAATGCACTCGATTAGCTGTGCATTAGAATCTTGAGCAAACATTATACCGTAAAGTGGGGCTATTTGAGACAGTGGGGCTATTTGAGACAGTATTTAAAATCGCTATAAAATGAAGATCGTTTGATTTTTGTGTGATATTTCTGCACAGGGAGGTGTGGAATCGAGCAGTAAATCGCCTGAGCAAAAAAATAAGCATGAATCTTAAGTGGTTTTTATTTTATAGCAATTTCAAATACTGTCTCAAATAGCCCCACTGTCTCAAATAGCCCCACCTTACGGTACCTGCTTGTTAATGTCGGACTTGAACAGTGGCTTCAAACTGCATGCAATCACCATGCTATCTATCTGCATGCTATCTTGTATTTTGATCTTCAATAAATCAGCGTGTTGCCTGAAACGACTGGGCAGGATTGGAGAAAGGCTATAGGACGATTGGACAGATTGTCAATGAAAATCATTGCCAGAATAATTTAGTCACGGCATCTTTCCGGCATTCGGCGCGGCTTTGACGATCATGGTTCCCAATGATGCCTGAGAAAATACGAAGAGTCACTGAAGGTGTTTGAGTGGGCTTTCTGGTTTATTGCTGTTTATATTGATTGGAATAAAGGTGAGCATATATCGTTTTAATGTTTGAAAATTAAAGAAATCTCCGTGCTTCATTATGTATTGGGTGTTAACTTGGTGTCAGTGCCAAAATAAGGATCAATTGCAATGAATTAACATCAACATAAGTTCAAAATCAGATGGATGTCGAATGACAATAAATTATCCGGTTCTGGATACAGAGTTATACTCGTTATACTGAAATTGTGACGCCTACGGCTGATTCAGTTGTAATAATAATCCAGAATCATAGGTACCTTACAAAAGGTGTAATTCGCGGCACTGCTAGGAATATTTTGTGGAAGCCACGTCAACAGTGGTTGGCATCGGGCGCTCGTGGTGGTCGGACGTGCTCGATCGAGCTCCTCACCCGTCCTCGGTCCTGGCCTGTGATCAGCTGATAGCTCAAATCCTGACCAGTTGGTATCGCCTGGAAATCCCTTTTGTCATAATTTCCTAACACTCTTTGGAAGATACGACATCAAAAGAAAGTAAAAATACCAAATTGTTGATCAAGAATGCCAGTCCCTCGATCTCCGAAATTACCGCGTCGAAATACAAGCAAGACGCCGGGGACGCAGGCTGAATCAGCTGACGATCGCGCGCCAAACCCACCCCCAACAAAGAAACCCAAGGTCAAAGTTGGAAACGGAGCGAACGGAGCTGGAGGCGACGCAGGTGGGAAAACTGAGTCGATTTTCGATGAAACTTGTGATGATAAGGGTGGTGATGGTGACAGTGAGGAAGACATAACCGAAACTGATCAAGGAGGAAAACACGATCCGGTAAGACCAGCTATGCATCAAAGAGAAATCGGTAAGCTAGACGACAGCGTGTATAAAGTGTTTGGCCAAAGCTCTGTTGGTTCACTTTCTCGCTCATCCAGCGACACGGGTAGCGAGGAGGCGATATGCAAGGGCGGCCCAAATCTAAAAACCTGCGGGAACCCAGTAAAAGAGGGCGAAGACGGTGCCAAATGTGATAGATGTCACTTATGGTTTCACGCTGCCTGTCAAGGCATCTCAAAACCAGCGTTGAAAGCACTTGACAGGTTTGAGTGTCTCGCATGGCTGTGCACGGATTGCAAAGAGAGTTTAAAGACTAGAAAACCCCGCCCTGTCTTTGCTGCGTCGCTCGAGGGTAGGTTCGCTCAGCTCGAAGCAAAAGTCCAGAACCACATCGAGCACATCACAAAGTCTGTCCAAAGCCAAGAAGAGATGCTAAGGAACCAGGCCATCAACATGGAAAAAGCACTAGATGCATATGGTAAGCGTGTGGCAGATCAGGTGAGAGCAGTCGAGGCGCATGCAAACTCAGCAGGACCTTCCTATGCAGATGCTGTCAAGGGCACCTGCAAGGAGGTTGTTGAAGCGGTGAAAACCCAGCTGAGCTCACTCCCAAAAGGTAATGAAAGCACACAACACTCAGCCCTGGATCTGACAAAGGCTTTGGACGACCACTGGGACAGGGAGAGACGCAAAGCCAACATTGTCGTGCACAACCTACCAGAGCCCGAGGAAGGTCCATTGAACGAGCGGGCAGAGAAGGATAGGCTGGCAATCCTGAAGATGATCAAGGATGTGATGAAAATAAGCGTATCAGCTTCTAAATCCTTCAGAGCCGGAAGAAGGTTGCAGGGTAAACCTAGACTGGTTATCCTGACCCTTGACAATCCAGCATGCCGAGCTGATATCCTGAGAGGAGCATCCTGGCTGAGAAACTCTGGGGAGTACTCTAACATTTATTTAACGCCAGACCTAACCCAGAAGGAAAGAGAGACCAACAGGAAGCTCCGTGAAGAATTGGCAGCTCGAAGAGGGGCTGGTGAAACAAACTTGGTGATCAGAAATGGCAAGATCACCCGTGCCCCACGTCAAGAAGAGGCAGGTAGCCAGCGGGCTGAAGGGCAACATGGAAGGAGGAGCCTCGGGAACACGGGGACCCGGGAGGAGGAGGGTAACCTGCACCAGCCAGTTGAAGACACTCGTGGGAGCCGTTCTCAGTCAAACCAGCCTGCGTACAGAGCAGCTGAATGACTAAGAGTGCATCCCAAAGATGTTAAGTCAGCAAAGGAAGACCTGACTGTTCTGTACACCAACTGTGATCAGTTCATCAACAAAAGAGATGACTTGTGTATGTTGATATGCAACAAGGAACCGGACTTGATTCTTCTGACTGAAGTCATACCCAAGGCCCAGAGATTACCCATTGACCCAGCTCTACTTCAGATCCCAGGGTACTCGGTGCATCATAACTTTACTCCTCTGACCTCGAACCTAGGGAGCAGTGGCATCCGAGGCATCTGTGTATATGCCGCAGAGCACCTTAAAGTGAGCGAAGTCTTTTTTGATGCTTCAACCACCGAAAATGTATGGGTGTCACTGTCACTAAGGGGAGGTGACTGCCTACTCATTGGATGTTTGTACCGCAGCCCATCCGGCTCCGCTGAAGACAGTATCAACCAGATGAACCAACTCATCCGTCAAGCATGTTCCGAGACCTTCTCACACATAGTGTTCGTGGGTGACTTCAATCTCCCCCAGATTGACTGGTCGACACAAAGCTCTCCGGCTCCTGCAGGTCACAGTTGCCATTCATTTATTGACACCATCCAGGACTGCTTCCTCTTTCAACATGTCCTCCACCCAACTCGTTATCGACATGGTGAAGCTCCCAGCATCCTGGACCTGATCTTCTCCAAAGAAGAAGGCATGGTGAAGGGGCTGGAATATCTTCCGGGACTTGGAAGTAGCGACCATGTGATGCTGCAGTTTACGGTCACCTGCTCCCCATTAGCAGGTGCTTACACCAGGATTTGCTCTGACCGCATTAACTTCAACCGGCTATCTAGCGTTCTTCAAGATGTTGATTGGTCTCCGATGGCTGCCATGGATCTGGACGGCGCCTATGCATTCTTCAAAACACAGCTTGTGAATGCCATCCAATCATGCTCATCCAAGAGGAAGAAACATGCAAATGTGAACTTCTACATGAATCGCCAGGCTTTCCAGCTGAGGAAAAAGAAGAAGTTGCTTTGGAGCACCTACTGTCGTACCCAGAGCCTGCTTGACCACGCCCGCTTCAAGCGCTGCAGCAATGAGCTGAGGAGGCTGACCAGGAGTCTTCGCAAGGATTATGAGAGGAAACTTGCTGCAGACCTAAAGCACAACCCAAAAGGATTCTGGAGGTACACCAACACCAGACTCCGGACCAGAAGCCATCTTGCAACCATGAAGGACAAAGACGGCTCTGTTGTCTCAGATAGCCAGAAGATTGCAAACATCTTGAACAGTTTCTTTGGCAGTGTCTTCACGGTTGAAGGACCTGGCACTACACCGACTCTAGACGGCAGCTTCAACGGTCCGTCACTGGAAGATGTCGATGTGTCTCCCCAGAAGGTTGAAGCAAAACTGGCTGCACTTAACCCACGAAGCTCCCCAGGGCCTGACAGTATCCGACCCAGTGTACTTCGTAACTCTGCGAGCGTCTTATCTTACCCCCTCAGTCTCCTCTTCAGGAAATCTCTGGACTCTGGATGTCTACCCGCAGAGTGGAAGACAGGGGAGATAATGCCCATCTTCAAAAAAGGAGATCGTCAGGAGCCAACAAGCTACAGACCCGTGAGTCTCACTGCAGTGCCGTGCAAAGTGCTTGAGTCACTGGTAAGGGACAGCCTACTTGCACACCTAACCTCAACTGGCCAGCTACATCAGGCTCAGCATGGGTTTCTCCCCAAAAGGTCTTGCACCTCACAGCTCCTGGGGGTGATTGAGGACTGGACTGCTGCCATGGAAGAGGGAGTTCCTGTTGATGTGGCGTACTTAGACTTTGCCAAGGCATTCGATTCGGTACCACACAAGCGACTCCTAGGCAAGTTGAGGTCTTATGGTGTGTCGGGTCGACTCCTGAACTGGATCCAGGCCTTCCTGTTTGAGCGCCTTCAAAGGGTGGTTGTTCGGGGATGCAAGTCAGCCTGGGCTCCAGTAACAAGCGGCATTCCGCAAGGCACCGTCCTCGGTCCTGCACTTTTCACAGTGTATGTGAACGACATGCCAGCACAGGTCACCAACACAGTGAAGATGTTCGCAGACGATACCAAGCTGTACTGCAAGATGACTGCCAACCACGATGGCCTGCAGGACGACATCGACGCTCTGGTCCGCTGGTCGGAGACATGGCTGCTCCCCTTCAATGGTGCGAAGTGCAAGACCATGCACCTAGGCTTCCACAACCCAGACCGCACGTACCACTTGAATGGAACTGCTGTCGCCACCTGCGAGGAGGAACGAGACCTAGGTATTATCATCGACAGGCAGCTAAGATTCCACAAGCAGACAGCCGCTGCCGCCGCCAAGGCTTCACAGATACTCGCAGTGATCCGTCGGTCGTTTGCGAACCTGGATGAGTTCACTTTACCTCTTCTTTTCAAGGCCTTAGTCCGACCCTTCCTCGAGTTTGGGAACGCCATCTGGGGTCCATTCTCCAAAGAAGACCAGAAGAGACTGGAGAGGGTGCAGCGACGCGCGACCCGCCTGATCACGGACCTCAGAGACCTGCCGTACCCTGACAGGCTTCGCCGCCTCGGCCTCCCATCGCTGCACTACCGCCGTCGTCGTGGAGATATGGTGACCGTGTACCAGCTCTTCCACGGACTTCTGGATGTGCCGCTTGAGTCACTGCTGACGAGACACGAAGCGCAAAACACGCGAGGCCACCAGTGGAAGCTGAGGAAGCCAAACGCCAAGCATCTTTCTCGCAGGAACGCGTTCAGCGTCAGAATCATCAACGATTGGAACGCCCTGCCAACAGACGTTGTCGCTGCTGAGTCGCTGTCGTCTTTCAAGGCGCGGCTGGACCGGCACTGGTCGAGCGTGATGTTCGACATCCCTACCCTGTACTAAGGACCATAGCCTCTCCGATTATGCCTTTCACTCGATACGAGCGGGACCCATAGGCCGAGTGGCCTTATAACCCGATGACCAACTAAGGTAAGGTAAGGTAAGGTAACATTATTATAAATATTAATTTACAAATTTTTGACAAAGTTACTGAATTCTGAAGTAGCATTGTTGACTGTGAATATGTTGCTGTCTTTTTTATGCTTCATGATAATTTATCATGAATTAATCATGCTGTTAAATGTTACTGATTCATATGTACATATTTGCACTTTTGAGCTAAGCTTCCCAGCCAGGATGGCTTTTTGTCCACTGGGCAAGCTGTCCGTGCAGGCCCAGGGTCCATCCTCTTTCTCCATCCCAATCTGCAGCAAGCAGGTATTACAAAATGTGAGGACAATGGAAGGGTAATGTAGCATGGTCCAGGCCATCTTGGAATATACTTATTCCAACAAATCGGGATAAACCCACAAATGACCTATCCACTATAATTTATTCCCACGCTGCTGGAAGTACCTAGAGTTATCATGAAAAGAAGCATGGAACTTTGCAATGTTAACGTCTTGCAATGCACCTCCCTAGCCTAAATTACTGTGTTGTTTCCTTCTCTCTGCAGATGACTGAGCGGCGCGAGTACGGTGCGGTGGACCGTCTGACGCACGGCCTGCAGGCGGGCCGGCCGCAGGCGGACGCCCCCGTCCACCCCGTACAGTCGGCCGTGGCGCGACAGGAGCGACTCGAGGCCGGCCTGCGCTCCGACTGGCTGCGCCAGGTGCAGGGCGTGCACGCGCCGCTGCGGCTGCACGCCGAGAAGCGCGCCGCCAGCCGCGTCGGCCGCCTGCCCTTCCTCCAGTCGTCCAACATCATGATGGACACGCTGACTGGACGCGACGAGACGCTCGGTGAGTCAAGAGACGTGTGGACTGTGGAGTGGAGATAATTGTAATCGTGCTTGAGACTTGAGAGTCGACCGGTTGTGTATCATTCTTATAAGGTTTTAATACGTTTGATATCCACCGATTTCTTTCAATAATACAACTAGTGAGCAAACAGACAACGGCAACCTGGAAACGAATAAAATAAGTATGTTGACTATCGAATACCAAGGTGACCCTTCAACCGATTCCATCTGCACCTCCCCTATCGCCCGAACTTCCAACGTTCGTTCCCATCATCCTGCCTTGAGCTGACCCTCTGCCGCTTTTTCACAGACTTCAGCGACTACCTGGGCGCCGTGGACGCCTCAGAGGTGATGGGACAGCCGCACGCCGTCGTCGAGAAGTCGCTCGGTCTGCTGTGATGATCGTCACTAGAATAACACATTGCAACACCTTCTGGGCCAGCCGTCCGTCCGTGAGCACCATTCGCGGCCGTATTTGAACAACTGTCCGACTGAGCCTTCGTCAGGGACGGCTCCCGAACCGTCGCTCCTCTACAAAATAGGGGACGCAACTCACGCCGTAAGTCTGAGGTCGCTTGCATTCCCAGACTTTTGAACTTACCGCCGACGATTCGGCGTATGTCAGCTGCGATATCGTCGCTGCTCGGGATTGGAAAGTGACTCAGTTCATAAAAATACAGATTTTCGATGTCATGCTGGGATTTTGCCAATTGCGAACATCCTTTTTTCTTTACTAAAGTCATTAATATCTCAGAAGATAAAGAACACCGTTCATCGATACCATACATTCGTCACACACGCGCATCCGTCATGTGAGTATAATAATAACTTGGTCGATAAAGGATAACGTAATACTGACATGTCAAACATATATAACAGTTAACACGGAACAGAACAATGATACCTCGGATAAACATCGACTAAACAAATACTAACACGTTTTTTATAAATTTAGTCCGAACCTTTTGATGGGAAGGATTCACAAGGACAGAGCCACCGCTAAGCGAAGCTTGTTGCGATGACCCTACCCTCTACCCTCTGATCGCGCAATTCCGATTCTATGGCATAATTTAGAGTCCAAAGTTTAACGTGCGCACAAAGCCGCGCACGGCCGGTCCCCTCGCTGACTTCGCCTGGCTACTACGGCCTGCCACCAACCGCAACCATACCTGTCAGGAGGCCCATAAATGTCGAGCGCCCGTCGCGCTTCGAACCCGGACTGTCATAACCGGGAACGCGTGCTCTCACCACGCGGAGTCCAACGCTCTAACCAACTGAGCTACGGGACCGGCTATACCTGCGGAACCGGCGGGACCGGCTACGGGACGTTGTACGGGATTCAGTGAAAAAAGTACGGCTTCCGCGTTCCATGCACCTATTCTAGTCATTCGATGGAGTACGTGAACAATTGATTACGGGTCATAATCCGTGTAGTATCATTGCAGTTTCGTTGTAATATTCTATATAATAAATGACCAAAATATCGCACCAAATTGAACAATGTAGTTCCAGTTTAATCTCGCATAAAATCGTTGCTTGAGAGAACATAAATCTCTCATCGGCAAGGAAAACGCTAAAAAATAAACGTCATGGTTGTGGTTCAGTTTCACCCATAGCTCCATATTACAACGCAATTACAAAATCACAAATCCACAATTTTAACATAACCCGTTTGACTGGCTCCTGATTCCAAATTTCTGCCTCGTTGACTACCTGATCCCCCTAATCACAGCCAGCTGCTTCAGACAGCTCATTCACAGCTCACATTGATTACTCGCACGCCGTCTCCTCCTCCTGCCACACTGTACGGGAAGCTGTCTATACCGTGACAGGCGGCGCCGTGCCTTCCGTCCTTCGTCAGCGCCACCATGGCCCCTACAAACTCCGGGTGGCGGGCCACGATCCGCGCCAGAGCCGAGCGGCACGCTTCAGCCGGCTCGGCGCCACTCCGCATCGCCTCCACGGCGAAAAAGCTCGGCAGGAAACGCATCATGACGTCTCCGTCACCGGTGGCGGCCGCGCCTCCGACCGCGCCGTCCACGTAGGCGCCGGCGCCCGGCACCGGACTGTCGCCCACGCGACTGCAGGTGAGCAGAACGGACGGTTAGCTGGTCAGGTGGGGGAGGGAATGGAACGGAGACAGTGGGTGGTAAGTTGAACGTAATACGACTGCACATAACCATTCATCGGTAATGATAAGGGTTTAGACTTTAGAGCCTGGCACAGGATCAGGCATGGAAACGTTGCTTTCAGATTCCATATTGCTTTGCTTTAAGAAATTACCGAGCCAATAGTTGTCAGATGTTCCACTTTTATCTACAGTACACGAACGGTTCAGCATCATCAACAATGACCTGACCTACCCGGGAATCTTGTGGATGGCTCCGTTCGTACTGGTGCCGGCGGCCATCTTTCCCCGGCTGTCGATAGCTACCATCCCGATGGTGTCATGTGCCTTGGCGCTGGCCCAGGAAGGAGTCGACGCCTGCGCTGCAGCAACGGCGGCCCAGTCCCGAGTGTACGGTCCGCAGCTCTGCGTTGGGTCCGGCTTCACGTTCTGAAAGCAGAGTGAAATGCGGCGATAAGAGCTGTGCATTGTTCATAATAGCATGTGAGGCGTTCTGCATTGCAGGATGTAAAATAACAAATTCACGTCTCCTGTTCTACCGCCCTGATGTCGGGTAGAGCAAGGCAGTTATATGGTACAGTTATAAGTTAATCACCATATGCCTTTCATTCGCTTTTGGTTAAATGACTATCAACACATACGCTCCTCAAAATTGTGTATTAAAACCTACGTACGTTTTTATTCACAACGTCGCTCTTCCAAATCGCACCCGCAACGTGATTAATAACGGTAAATTTGTTTGTAGATTTTCGTGTTGTTTCTCGAATTGCTAAGCAGATTTTCGCGACCGTCTCAGCTCCGTCTCCATCAATGTTCACAACACCCCGATCACCCCGTTCTCGTTACCGCTCATACCCACCATCCAGAAGTTGGGCTGACAGTTATTGTCCCGCCACTGCTGGTGCAGCTGGCGCGAGTGGTCCGTCTCGAGCGTCTCCTCTTTGAAGCCCAGCTGGAGCGCGAACTGCGTGGCCAGCTCTCCCACGAGCAGCGTGTGGCGCGTGTGCTCCAGCACGGCACGCGCCACCGACGCCGCGCTCTTCACGCGCCGCAGACACCCCACGGCGCCCACGTTTTGGGTGTCACTACGGAGGGAGATCGGGGATTGTGTTACCGGCGCCAGCGGTGATTGTCGCACCAATTTCACGAGTGCTGGAGTGGAGTGGGTAGTAGAGTTTACATTGGCTGGCATTCTTAATTTCAAATGACAATAGCATATGCAATAAAATCATTCATTATATAAGCATTGCAGTAAATATCAATGATCTCAAGAAAATAATCATAGGGTCAGTCTAAAATGTGCAGTTCACAGAACAAGAAGCAATGCAATAACTACGTGGATGTCCTCACTCTTCAATGCTTACCCATCCATTATCATGGCATCAAGTGTTGTCTCGCCATTCTCGTCTGGACTACCACCGAACCCCACAGTACCATCACACTGCAGCTTCTCGCAGGTGGTGCAGCCCATCTCCACAGCGTCCAGAGCAGAGCCAGATGCTGACAGGATCTGCCAGGCTGAACATTGACAGGTTCAGGGTCAGGTGGTTGAATTTTGTAAGCATGCACCAAGTTTTTTTGTGGTACTGGTACAAATCATATCATACAAGACTATATGAAATAAATGAGACGTGGAAAAGACTTGGATAAGTATGCTAATGCTTCTAAAATAAGAAAATGGCTTCTGAACTTATAGGTAATCTTATTGCACTGAACAGTACAATACCATGCATGCAAATCATAAAATAGAAACTAAAAATGTCACACCTCAGTAGGCGGAACTATGGTCAAGCGTACCCATTTTCGGGAACGCATTTTCGTTCCCATGTTTGGGAACGATAAACCCAAATATGGGAACGCCATGTAGGCATTATTTAAAACAAGAAAAAGAACTGTTAAATGACGTCCAAAAAATATAAAACGATCGTGAACCGCCTGATAGTTGTCTCAATATTGTTGGGAAAGAGTTTGATATTGTAAGGCCCATCGTAGTTTCAAATCGTTCCCCTATTTCTAAAGCAGTCCATCACCCGGGCCGCGAGCCCAAATTTGGGAACGCTCTCGTACACTGGCGCTGCAAGCGTTCCTTATTATGGGAACGGCGTACCCAAAATTGGGAACGATTTCACCGACGCCTTTCAGGGGCTCTTTTCATTAAAGGAAACAGTCCACTTTCCTGAAATCAGTATTTTGCTATTGATTTATGATTTTTTATGCTCAAAATAATCATGAAATAAAATAAAACCTTTTTGTAAAAACAATTATTTTCTATATTTTAATATAGGACGAACTATATTCTATGTAAAATAATGTTTGACGCGGAAGCTTATTACGCATTGACCAATCATATTGCGTAGCTCAAACCTACGCATACTGCATTGGCTGTAAGCAGCACGCTGATTTGCTGACGATGACGTGGCTGCATTCCTGTGCAAGGCACGCATTCCTCTACAAGGCACTCTTTTCGGAACGAGAAATGGAATATCTTCGTCTATGGTGATCGTTGAGCCGTAAAAGCTCCTGATTTGTGCTAGTCTCAGCTCAAGCTACGAAACTGCTATTCCAGCTCAAAACCCCATGTTAAAAGTGAACAATTTCCTTTAACAAGCATCACGTCCAACGCCGCAAATTATTGTTAACGCAACAATCATCAGATGACCTTTCCGGCAAGACCGTTGCATGTTTCGCCCGGTCTTCTGCGCTTTTATTCCCGTCGATCTCGCAGCGGGCACGCCCCCCTCTGCAGGATTACGTAATCCACAACGCTCAGCGATGTTCAACAAGGTCTTCCATACCTATATCCACCGTCCGCGCCGAGGGTGGAGACATGTCAAGCACCTGTCTGCTAATCAACGAGAGTTGACGAGCACAAGAAGTATCCAAAAATGAGAACGCTGAATATGTTACACCCTCAAAACACCTAGTCCCAATGAAAATCTAGTTTTTTCCTTTCTTAATGAGTGTAAGTGGCAAAAGGCCTGGTAGGATGGGCACGAGGTATGATCGAAATCAGCATAAAAATTATAAATAAGCCACACAGAGCGACCTATATCAGAGAAATTCCCCCCAAACGATCATGCTTAGAAACGCCGAAGACAAAAACCACGCTCATGACGCTGCTTATAAAACAACGCTAAACAGCTAGCATCCAAATAAAATATGTCTTTCAGGGCTGATAAAATACAGCTGAATGATTTTAAACCACTGAAACTGAGTTTACAACAGTAGTTCGGTAAAATCACTGACGTTCCACGCGGTCGATCGCCCCGACACCAAAAGTCAGCAATATTACCTCGGGACTGTCCGCGTGTTCGCTTGCATATGTCAGCATCTGGTGTCGCTAGAATGAAATTTCATAACCAGGCGAAAATTATTATACTTGACCTCAAAATGTAAAAATGCTTCATTTTCCTTAAAATTGCATGTTAAATGTCGTATAACCCATATTTCCACCATTCTGTCATTTTTAAAAAATCATTAAAAATATCATTCCACGGTCAATTTCCTTGTTCCACGGTCAGATTAAAGATAACTTAATGGAGATTTAGTAGATACTTAAATCAGCGTGCACTTTTTTGAGACGTGATGCACTTTTGAGTTTTAGTGGGCGAACGGCCGAAAAATTGCCTTCCGTTCTCATAAATGGGAACGCCCGTTCCCATATTTGGGAACTCCGTTCCCAAAAATGGGAACGTTCCTATATTTGGGTACTCATGACCATAGTTCCGCCTACTGACCTGTCTCGGTCGCATTCGTAAAGGGCCATGTGTTGACAACCAGGGGAGCTGTCATCACACATCTACATAGGGTTAATTGCACAACAAAATTAATAAAAACGCCCATAACTAAAAATTTCTGAGATGATACAAAAAGTAAACAAATGACAAATGTCTCATCTGCGCCAGCTACATCGGCAAATGTTTTATCAAAAATTTGAAATATGACGTCTATTTCTTTAGGAGAAATCTTTTTAACCTTGCTGTGCAATATTGATTTTTAAACAAATAAATTAGTGTGAAAAAAGCTACGACAATTGATACATTTGATGAACCCTTGTCCCTTCTTAAAAAATCATCAAACATAAAGTTTGACGTCATTTTAGGGTAAATTTGTTTTTCTGATATCCGCTTTGAAACAATGGCCTTGGCAAATGAACGACAAAGATCGACTGAAATGCGTGCTGCGGTGTATAGGGCCTTGCCAAGGCCGTATAAGAGAGGTAGAATCATCCCGCAATTTCCTATGGACCGGTCGCTAAGCATTAGCGTGACGTCACTGGTGGAGACCGCGCGGCGCCCGGCTCCAAGCTGTATGTCGGGTACATTTGACACTTTATCGTTGTTATTACTGAACGTAACGACAACTAATGACTCTTAATAACTTTTTTACCCACCTAAAGCTGATTTCCTTGCCGATACATTGCCGACCCGAGCCCCAGGGTTGACAATCTTGGGATATGGGTCGGATGGGTGACCTCGCGACGGGAGAAGGAATGATTGCAACTGTTGTGTCCCGCACCGCCGATTGCATTCTCTATCTGCACCCGGAGGGGGGGCAGGGGTCACGTGCCCCCATCGGATCAGGGGCCTCTCGGGCCCGAGGGGCCCTGCGACGCCAATTGGCGGCTGAGGGTCCACGCTGGCATTTTCGACTCAGAAGGGCCCCACAGGGCTCGAAAGGACACCTTATGTGCTCCGAATAGCCACACTTCTCTCCATAAGAGTCGAACACCGGCTTTTTATTGTCCCTTGTCGGCATTTGAGGGCCCCTCGCCGGCCTCTCAGGGCCCATATTGGCGACCTCTGAGGGCCCTCACCGGCCTATCAGGGACCAGCAGCTCTAAGGGTTCCACACACGCCTGTGATGACCCCCTAAACCAGTGGTTGATGGCCCCCACAACGGCGACTGCGAGGGCCCTCATCGGCGGCTGTGAAAGCCCCAAACCGGTGCCCAGCTGAGGGCCCCACACTGCCACCTCAACCGAGTTGAGGTGGCAGTTGTGAGTTGAGAGTTCAACCGGCAGTCGGCACCCCTGAATCAACCGAGTTGAGAGTTCAACCGGCACCCCTGAATGAAGTCCCAAAGGCCCGAACCAGTGCTTCTTGGCCATATATTTATCGGCGGCTCTGAGGGCTGAACGCCGGAGCCTCTGACGGCCCCAGACGGGACCTTCGCATCGGACGGCCAGTGGCCACTCACCGGTGACTTTTGAGGGCCCCACACCGACGACTCTGAGGGCCCCCACCGGCGTCTGAGTGTACCTTGCTGGTCTCTAAGGACTCCACAGGGCTCCTGAAGACACCGCAGACCTCTTCAGAGCCCCTTGTCGGTCTCTGAGAGCCCCTGTCGGCTTATAAAGGGTTCGAGCCAGCAGCTCTAAGGGTCCCACACCCGACTGTGATGACCCCACACTGCAGTGTCTCTGAGGGCCCACAATGGCAACTGTGAGGACCCTCACCGGCGCCTCTGAGGGCCACACACTAGCACCTCAGAGGGTCTACAGCGGCACCTCGGGGGCCCCGCACCAATGCCTCTGAGGGCCTCACACCGGTACCTACCTGAGTGCCCACACCAGTGCCTCCAAAGGCTTCATAACCGGCGGCCCTGAGGGCACTACACCGGTGATTTTGGGGGCCTACCTACCGAAGGCACAACACAATCCCTTAGTCTCGCTGAGTTGCTATCCCAATCCCATACCGGCTTCTATCCCAATTCCGGCTCAACTAATTAGCAGCCCCCCCCCCTCCCATGGGTCAGGGCCAGGGGCGCCGCGCCGGTGCCGGTGCCGGGGGCCAGCGCCATCGGGGCGGCAGTCGGCCACGCGCACTCAATGCTTAACGCTTAGCACCGGCGGGCGGTGGCTAGCGCACGCCCGGCGTGTTATCGGCCGTGAGTCGCTCCAAAACGGCTGCAGTATCTGGTCGATATAGGCAGATGAGGAGATGCAGGTGGATTGATGACCGGCAAGCGCTTTTGTGCTTTACGAGGGCGAAGCGTCGAAGTCGGCTGCTAAGCCGTGAGCGGGTTTTATCATATGCCGGTTCACTATGACCTTTATCCGGGGCCTGGTACCCTGATGCACTCTTGGAGAGCCGAATTACAGCAAAACTCCATCCACGACTGTATCTATACGGCTTAAGCTTTTCTGAAAACGTCTGCGTTTGGCCTTCTACGGGCCCGGCCCGGCCGGCCGGCCGAACGGCCCCGATTGGCGATTCACCAGTGACGTCACTGGTAGTGTTAAGCTGATTGGCGAATAATACATGGGGAGAACCGGGACGACATCCCCCTGGGGCCTTGCGTGCTGCCTCGTGCGCGTTTGCGAAGAAATTGGTTATTTTCCGTCGTGTGTGTCGTGGATCGTTGATCAACATTATGCAAGAATAAGAAAATATAAAGTTTTAGGTAGGTTGGTAAACTTCCGACCATGTAAATGTTCAAATGTCCAGCTTGGAAATTGAAATGACTCATTCATTGCGTCGCCGTTGACCTCATTTTGGTATTAGGTAATAGCACATATAAGGTGCATTTCTAGTGCACAGGCTGTCTTTGAGTAAGGTACGTTGCTGGTTCACATCTACAACCATCAAGCGTTTCATTTCAATTGTTTGGCGACTGGCGTGTTGGGCACTTAAGTGTTGTTTAGAGGCTCGGAACGCTGTTCGCTGACATTTAAACTTACTGATTGATTTTCATTACTATTTGGAGTAAGACAATGTTATTTGCTGATGTTGCATTTGAGACACAAATGTGAAGTTAGTTTGCTCTCATAGTTTAAAGATTTTCAACTGAAGCATCATTTCAATTATTTTGATTTTAAGCTCTTATTTTTCTCTTTAATAAGTGCTGGGAAGTTCAAATAAATTTAGTCGGGTACATGCCTAGTTTGTTGTGTGAGCTTGAGTTTCAAAAGTGCCAAGTGGTGAAATAACAATTTTTGGTAATTTTTATTCAAACACTTGATTGCTTATTTGATCGTGACTGCTTGATCAATTATTTTGAGCATTGTATTGTTATGTTATAAGGTTTTTTCCTGCCTCTAACAATCATTATATAAGAACAAATGAATCTGAACAAGTTATGCTACTCTAGGGTAGCTCTTTAATAGCTTCAGACGTGATAAAAAGTAAACTATCTTTAGCATAGGCACATACTAGGCTCATATATAATATACTAATATGTCATTAATATGATGATAATATGATGTGATAAATAATTCAGGATGCTTGCCACACCTGTTGCAATGTAATTTGTAGGTCAAAATGACAAACATTGATGTCAGATGTGTATTTGTAATTCAAATGAAGAGACTAGTAGAAAGTGCAATTGAATGCATGCCTTGAGATAGTTTCTCTTGTATTTCGTTTCTGTTCCGTGTTATTATAATTTCTCTTGTTTCATTTGCATACCAACAATGACAGGCATTGCTAACCATATTGCAGGACTATAATAACTCCTGTGATAAGATATAAGATCAGGGTGATACAAATGGTTGTTTGATCATGACCAGTTATAAAGCACCTGTGTTATACCATGCATGAAGTATACCTGGATAGGACACTCCCTATTCCCCAACACTAGCGCCGGCGACCAAGCGGCCGCCCTGGTGGCGGAGCTCCGAAACATCGGCGGCGAGTGCGCCGGCGGCCGCCGCACCGGCTTGCGTGCTAAAAACGCGGTAATGGAGGGCGAAATTAGCGAACTTTAGCTCATAAGACACAATTTCAGACACTTCAAACATAATTTCTAGTCCTTTCTTATCATTATTATGGCTCCATTTAGTCACTATCACATACGGAATCATTACCTGATGCCAGGGGCTCCGCCACGGTTTTGGGATTGGGGGGGTCCGACCCAAAACACAAAACCTCACTGGCGGATCCAGGGTGGCATTCAAGGGGATTCCCCCCCCCCCCACCGCAGCGCCCGAAATCGATGAAAAATTGCCGTTTTCTAGAGTACAAAGAAACTTAACAATTTTATTGGAAGAAGCTTACTTTGAACTGCAAGAACAAGGTTAAGATTGCATAAGGAACCGAAAACCGGGGAGCAGAGCCCTATTGACACCGACATGGCGGCCTCTCAAATCGACGTTCTTGAGGAATGGAGGCCAGTGTTGCGCGCTCCAAAGGCGATATTGGCCATCAGAGAACGCATTGGGCTCTCAGTGACTGGCATGGGCTTGGGAATTCAGGGACCTACATAGGCCCTCGGGCTTCTACGTAGGCTCTAAAGCCAGTGAAGAGTCCTCCTAGGCCGTACTTAAAGGAAAGCTCAGTGCTTTAGCAGTTATTGTAGGGATTTGAAAGCCCTGCCCCCATACAGCAGCATGGGGTCCTTAGAGACTGACAATTGACATTCAGTCTCTGTGATGAGTGTGACCTCCCTGGCCTAAAAATGGATATCAAAATGCTCCACTTCAATCAATAGTCAGACAATGGGGATCCTGTTGGGATTGTGACTTGTGAATGTCCTACCTCTACGAACCTGCATTCAGAGACCTGTGCAGATTATTTCAGATTACCTCAGAACGGTGTGAGGATGCTTAGACTAGTATGGTGCTCTCAAAGAGCGACATGGACCCCTCCCCCTGACACTATAGGATGACCTCACATTGAAAGAGCGATTCTCATATCGATTTGAAGCTCTCTTATAGGGCAGGTGTTGTGTCTAGAAGGTGTCCTACAAGCTGGACTCCCCTCGCAAAATTATAGCCAAATTCTAGCATGCCTAGCTAATCCTAGCCATCTGAAACGCATTCATAGTAATAACAAAAATGGTGGAATGATGACACTCCCATGTAGACCGGTGAGTGTCACTGTCGAGTACTTCGTCTGCTATGACCTTATAAGGGTTCCCTACATTTCTATATTTTCAATTCCTTAGCTACACGACTGTCAACACATTCAAAACGCATACTGTGAATGATTTAGTCATTTCTACGCGAAAACAAACTTATAGGTATCTGGAATATTGGGGGGTACTGTACCCCCCAGGTAAATTATTGAGGGGGTCCGGACCCCCGCGACCCCCCCTGTGGCGGAGCCCCTGCCTGATGCCCATAAACTAAGCCGGTATTCTTGACTTGCCGATGCAATTTATCATCAAATATCATCGTTCCTCGGCAGTCGAACAAGTTCCTATTGATGATTTAATACAAATATTAACTTATTTTCATGTTATCGCATAAAACTTAACTTTATTCCAACATTGGCTCTTCGGCTGTAATCACGAACCCTCACTTGTCAGCAGAATTTAAGCAACTTCTTAAATCAAAACTGGGAAAAGAATATTTCCATGACATTCCTCAATACCTGTTCTACCTGGTTCACAAAAATTTTCATCAAAATCGGTTATAGGTAAGTAATAAACGACAAAAGTATACAAAAAGACACACTCCGCCCATAGCCCGCAATGCTAAAATGACGCCAGCGCCCTCGCCGTCGGGAAATCCGCCGCCGCCGCCGGGTGGTCGGAAAATCGGCGGAGTGTCCGATCCAGGAATACCTAATCCATGGTTATACACTGCCTTTTAGGACCACAGTATCCAAGAAGCAATACAAAAGCTGCTCTCTTGGTGGTTTATTCGATCCTTGTGTCGTCCTCTAGTGACACTGATAAGTGACCCGTCGCGTTCGTCTCTGCAGGCACCGTTAGCGAGGCATGGAATCGCGCAGAGGCTACAACAGTTACCGCGACTCGAGCAGTGACACGGACCAGGACGGTGACGACAGGCGCCTCTACAAGAACCGCGTCGGGTAAGTGCACTTCTAGTAACGTTTCCGACCGACAGGTGGCAGGAGATGATGCCGTGGTGGGACTTGGGGGCTAGTAGGAGTTTGGGTTGGTTGTCGGTGCGTTGGCCAGAGGTTTATGCTTTTTTTTTGTTCCGTGTGATAGGGAATGCTTACATCTACCTATCAAACATGGACAAGGACATCCAGAGCTGCGCCTCCAATACCAAAACCACTCCTGTATGCTGCTCCTTGAACAATCGATGTCGTGATTTGTGATTGCCGTAACTCGGTAACGCTGATTGACAGAGAAGCATGATTGCCCGATCGCCTAGAAGTTTTGAACTTTGATCTCTGAGATGACACGTGGCTTTGACGTTGACTTAAATAAGACTGTGAAATATGAAAGCGAGTATGGATTTTCAGTGGCGGAGTTTGAAATATCAAACATTTGAGTTACTTTGTTTTATCGAAGATTCAGATGGTGACGAAGACGTGTGCATGAATATATATTTTGCGGACTTTTTTTGTCATGAAAGGCTGCGTGGAAGGCGTCACAATGTCGCTATCCAATTGGCTGCTACATACGTACTATTTCTCGCGTCTAAGACATACCGTTCCATCGGCTGAAGACGGGATGTCTTCAGCTGACGGTGCCGTTGCGGTCGATGGTGGTACGATGGTAGTGGTTTGCAGCTGATGGCGTCAGGTGATTTACCACCTCGGTTGCAATGGTCGGATGGCGCACCATACTCCAGGGGGTCCGGTCGATGTGAACTTCAAACAAAAAATGCTGAAAAAAAGATATTGCGTGGGCTGTGGGGAGCCACCTGCATCGACTTGTCCAAACAATTCAACAATCCTGCTGCATATGTTACTTGACGGTGTACTACGACGCATAACGACGACGCTTCGTTGTTAGGAGGCTTAAGGTACATCTTTTTGGCAAAGCGAATTTTTTTGGTCACTTGCCTGCATATCACCGTGCCAGTGCAGTGTCATGGAATCATCGCAGCCTCGTCGCATTACTTTGCGTTTCAGCTTTTGCGACATGTTTGTCGACCACTGACGCAAGATGGAACAGAGGTAGATGGATGCAGGTCGCCGACCCGTGGGTGCAGGTCATTGCTTTTGGGTGCCGGTCGCCGATCCATGGGTGCTAGTCGCGGTTCTGCCTCTGGTCATTTGACCAGACTGGAGGGTGCACCATTGCGCCGTGCGTGCCGGCAGGCCGTTAGACGTCCGGAAAGGATCAATAGAACGGAAACTAGGCTGGTGTCATTAGGATCATGCATTAATGTCGGCTCTTTTCGCTCGGCGTCCACGGCCCCTGGTCCTTAATGTCTATATCAAGGAACGGTATTAATGAAAGTTTGTCATGTATGTATGCTTTTCGGTGGTAAACGGGCTCAGATAAAACCATTTCGACCATTCATCGTGTCCGTTTATTTAATTCCGCGCTCCTAAATATCTACAACGACGTTAAACTGGAAACATTTGGGTGTCATTCCTGGTGGAATTGTAGAGTTTCCAGCCGTGGAGCGAAATGCATTGGAGCTTTACAGCTCCTCCTCGTGGCACAGCGGACGCCGACGCCCGCGGGCTTAGCGCTCCAATAAGGCCACCCACTCTCAGTGGGAAGCTGTAAAGTGACCCTTAGGGACCAGACGGCGCCTTATTGCTGCAGTGACGACGGAGGCGGACCGACGGCTGTGCGGTCCAAAATAAAACGGCGTTTTGTTTGTGCTGTCACAATTATCGCACTGCTTTTTGGTCCCCGGGCGACGACAGACGGAACTTCGTTTCTAAAAGAGTGATAAGGTCGGGCTTTCGGTCCGCCCAACTACGCGACTGTTAGTTGAGGTCACGTAGTTTATCAATCGTAACCGATGGATTTGCCCAATGTGAAAATGGCTACTTGGCATTATGACATCAGACATGGTCGATGTGTCTCGCTCATTTCTGCATAGATATGCGAGCATATTCTCCAATTTGCTTGTGAGTGCTGATTAGAGATGTCAATCGGATACCAACTTTTTGGTATACCGATACCAAACCGATACCAACTTGGTATTTGGTATTTCAATCGTAATGTGTTTGGTATTTTGTTGGTATCATGAACCCTCAATAATGTATGAAAGGCTAAGAAATCGGCATAAAGTTGGTATTTCCCTCATTTTTCCAAGTTAGTTTGGTTTTGATATTTCCCCATGGGTTTGGTTGGTATTTGGTTTGGTATCGGTATTCAGATTTACCGTAGTTGACATCACTAGTGCTGATTATCGGCGTCTTTTTTAGGTCATTCGGTCAGTTTTATCCTGCGTTTCCACCAGATCTGTGCCCATCACAAAAGGCTTGTTCTTACGTTTGGCTACCATCATCGAGCTTTAAATGAATGCAAAGAACGAATAGCAGACGACTCAAACTCCAACGCTGCAACCCACTCGAGACCCATGATTGTCGCAGCCATCGAGCTGTCGGCGGCGTGATCTGATTTCTGAATTCCGGTCGGCTGGCCGCTGTCTGACCGAGCCGTGCCCCGCTCTTCTGTCACGGTCTGCCGGCTTCATAACTGTCGGAGTGGGGCGCGACACCCGCTGGCCAGCGGATGGTGCCGGATGGACTGGGAACATTTGTCGCCATGCGCCAGTGATGTCCAGCCGACGGGGATTTATTTATTTATTTATTTATTTCGCATATCTTTGTGGTTTCCAATATACAATTGGCTTGTTACACCACAGCGTCATACAAATACACATATCGGCTGCCATTATATACAGAATAAAATATACATGGACGCAGTGGCGTGAGTGATACCTATAAAAAGCTAAAAAAGACATGTAACGACTGGCTCAATGACAAGGCTAAAAGATGGTGACGCAATGTAATATAAAACACTCATGTTTAAAATGATGCTAGGTGTGTGCGTGCTCTAGAGTTTGGTAAGTGTCGACTTTTTCACATTTTTCTTGAAGGTAAAGTCACTTCTGCAGACACGCGTTTTTTCGTCGAGAGCATTCCACGTGTTCAGCGACCGGATGGGTGCGGCCAAGCGAGTTCGCTCCAGACGGGCCCGCGGTACATGAAGGAGACCAGCAGCGGTCGCTCTCGTACTACGCTCTGATATGTCCGCGCGATACGTGGCTAGTGCTTTTAGGTGAATCGGTGCATTCTCCTGATACAGCAGTGAGTGCACGAGGACACAGTCTCTATAGTCGATCATGTTCTCGAATGACAGCTAGCCGAGCTCCTTTCTTGTCTTAGAAATACGATCAAACTTACGTTTCCGTGTGACAATGCGAGTTGCATAGTTCACCACCTTTTCCATGCGAAGGCGATCTTGCTTTGCAGGTGGCGCCCAGGCCGGCAGACAATACGTCACATGCGGAAAGACCAGGGCACGAATGAGGTGTACCAGGGTAGTTCTTGGATTCGGAATGACGCGAGGAGATTTCGGGGTGTTGGGTGAATAATGTGTGGCTTACTGGCTCGACACGGGAAATGATTGGAGGTCGGTTCAGGTTGAGGTACTCTGAGAATATTCGTTTTGTGTGAGACACTATCTGCTGAGACATGCGCTCGGAATGTGTTTTTTTTTTTTTGTCGTCAAAAAGGCAACGTAAGCTCGTATTGTCCTCTTAAAGGGACCCTCCCACCAGGGCTGCGGAGTCGGAGTCGGAGTCGGAGTCGGAGTCGGTCGGAGTCGACAGTTGTGACCGGAGTCGGAGTCGGAGTCGGAGTCGATTTTAGAAACCCGATCCGGAGTCGGAGTCGGAGTCACCGAAAATATGTCGACTCCGCAGCCCTGCTAGGTCTGCGGAGTCGGAGCCGGGAGTTGGAGTCGGTCGGAGTCGACAATTCTGCCCGGAGTCGGAGTCGGAGTCGGAGCTGGTTTTTGAAAGCCGGAGTCGGAGTCGGAGTCGGAGTCGCCGAAAATCCATCGACTCCGCAGCCCTGCCTCCCACCTTCAAAAAAGTTAATGAATTGGCATGAAAGTGATGTCGCTCGGTTCAGAAAGAGCAAAAACGAATATCTACCAAATTTCATCGAAAAATATTCACCGGTTTTCAAGATATTAGACTTTTACTTTTGTTTACTTTTTGGGATCTCCGCTGTTCCTAGCGACTTTATTTGAAAGTGCGGCATTTGTTGCGCGCAAAGCAGCATATACCACCGCGTGCTACAAAACGTTTTAGTCAAACATTTAACGGACGTTCGAGAGCCTGATGACGTCTTCAGATTCCCGTAATGGTTAAGAGATAGGGACCACGCTGGTCCCACCCTGCAAGTAAAGGGAAGACATTTCTTGAACACCATAAAGCTGCGGGGGTTGCGACCAGGATAAATGGTGGTTTCTGAGCCTGGCCGCAAACTTGGCTATCTCAACTCAAAACTAATGTTAAGGTGGGAGGGTCCCTTTAATCAGTATCGACTGTTGAGTAGACTGCAGTTATGGTTAGGTGCGGAAGGCGCTCAGGAATATAAAAAGCTCACTTCGCAACATGTATGGACCAATTCTTGTTCAGCTTCATCTTATTTTGAATGGAGATGAGATTTTCCTTTATGTTCTAGGGAAAACGGCTTGATGCATTTTAAATGATACTGAATTTTATCTGGTAAAAATTAGATAGAATGGAGATGTTAAAAAAAAAATCGTGTCGCCCAGCTTCTTAAGAATTCATTATTAACGGTGTCTCCAAGTTTAACCTAGTTTCATTAAACTCCCGCTAGTCTCATCTCCGGTTCCGTTTTAATTTCGCCGCTCCGACATAAAAGACTGCTCTTCTATCGGCTTCTAATGATCAGTGGAGCCAAATGACGCCCGACTGCCGCTGTGCCACGCTAGCCCGAAATGTGTTCGTGACGCCGCTGCCGTTGGCTCTCCGATCATACCTATGACGTCACGCGGAGAAAAACACGTCATTTGTGTCAGCTGGTGTGGGACGAACACGAATGAGACGGGTGGCACGCTAGTTGGAAATCGTGTTTTCTATTTCGAGTGTTGCGGCTTATTCATCATGCTC